ACCTCCCACATCGCGGGTGCCGCAGAAGTCTGCTGAATGAATAAGTCGGTGAACAGGGGAAAGTGGACAGGCAGGCTGAGAGGCTGGGCTGTGCTCTGCCTGAACCCCAAGGCCAGAGGAACAACAAGAGGACACTGGCCGAGACAGACTGCCTTCCTCCAGCCAGGGCAGGCCAGGGCAGGCCAGGGCTCACCCCGGCATTCAGGTTTAAGCTGCTGGGCTGGGAGCCTCCTACTCTAAGTCCTCAGTATTAGTGTCTGGGGCTGCGTGGATGCACCCAACGCACCTCAGCCCAGAGGCTCAGACCCACAGGCACCTGTAGCTCACAGGCCTGGAGGCCGAGGTCCGGACCCAGTGCCAGCAGGGCCTGGCGCCCTCCCCTGGGAGGCTTTGGGGAAGACCTCTCCAGGTCTGTCTTTCATTTTGGTAGTTCCATAGCAGCATAATCCATCCTCATGTGACATGCTCCCCGTGTCCATGTCTGCCTCTGTGTCCAAATGTCCCCTGTATAAGGGCACCAGAGAGAGACACACCAAGAGAGAATCAGAAATTACCCCCAGAGGGGATGGCCATGCCACACTTCCTTCTGGCCCATTGTTTTCTCAGGATCTTGGACACGTACGCATGCACACCTGCCAGCATGAGTTTCAAGCCTCTGGGTCCGGGACGCGAACTGTGGTCAGGCATGTGAGAGTCCATCGACCTAACCACTATGCCACATGCTGGCCCCAAAGTGCTGCTCTGTTTCTGTCTGTAGGTCTGGTGCTGCACCTGCCTCTGTGCGGGGCGGTGGGAGGTGGGGGGTGGTGGCCGAGGCTCAGCACTGCACTTCTGAGCCCTTTAGGCTGCCCACCAGGCTGGTTCTGGCTGCTCGAAGAAGACTGGACAAAGCCACTGTGTGCCGGCTCGGGGTGGGGTGTGGGCTGCAGGGCAGGGGACCCAGCTATGGCTGGGTTGCTCAGGGAGGGAGTGAGCGGGTCAGGGAGTTCTATCTAGTGTGACTAGAGCCAGGCCAGGTTGGAGGTGGTGGCTGACCTAGAAATAGTTAACACCCGAAGTCATGAAAAGTGTGCCAGTCTCTGGGTCGGGGCGGCCAGCCGGTGCCCGGGACCATATGGGGTTCTGTGCCCTAGAAACAGTGGGTTCAGGCGGCCCACATGGCCGTTTAATCATGCCCAGCGTGTGAGAGGATTGAGGCCTGAATGACAGGGAGCCAGGCGGACGGAATCTAGAGCAAACCTGACCCACTGGCATGGATATCCAGGGAGCGCTCGTGTGTTGGCACCATGCCACCCGTTGTGTGGCTCAGAGGGGCTCGGACAGCTGGTGGGGCCCAGCCACAGGACAGGGCGCTGCGGCAGCCACCCAGGCCACCCAGCTAAAGACAAGATTGGTCCTGGGAGCCAGGCCCCGTTCTGGGAGTTGGAAGGGCGCTCCACTTGGGGAGGGTAGTGAAAGCTTCAGGAGGAGGGGATGGAAGGGTCCTTGTAGGTGGCTGGATGTTGGTTGGCAAAGCTGGAGAGGGAGAGGCCCAGCTGGTAGCATGGTGATTAAGGTGACTGCATCCCATGTGACTGACTACATGGTTCAAGTCCTGGACCCAGAGGGTTGAAAAACATGCTGGGCACATGTGCATGTGTATCCAAAATTCTGAAAGAAGAGACAAAGGAGACCATTCCCTAAGAGAGGGGTGCTTTCTCACTCTCTACCCCTCTGTCTCTGTCTCTTCCAGCAAGAGCACACACTCCCTAGGAATTTAAAAAAAGAAAAAGAAAAAAACAAAGAGAGTAAGCAAGCTGGAGGTGGGGTTGGGGGCATCGAGGCAGAGGGGCTGGAAGAGACAAGGCAGGAGGAAAGAACGAGGGTCCGCGGACCCAGTTTGACACGAGGGTGGGAAGGACAGCCAGAGAGGCAGAGCCAGGGAGAGCGGGACAGCCGAGGGACTGGGCCTTGAGTCGGCTGGCAGGGAAGGACGTTGCCGAGTGGGGAGATGGCGTTCACTGAGCCGGCTGGAGAGGGAGCAGTGAGGAGTCGTTGGGTGGCGGGAGTCAGTTCCGAGTGCCCTGCAAGCCGTGGCCTTCGTCAAGTAATTGCACACGGCCTTGGCAACGGGGCAGGCTGCCTCGAGCCCAGGACCCGTCTGACACGCCGCCCACCTGGCTGCAGCTCTCCCCGGGGTTGCCCTTTACCAGGCTGCAGGGGTGGGTAGGGCCGAAGGGAGATCCCATAGGTGAGAAAGGCGCACCCAAAATCCGTGCTCATGTGGGTTCCTTCCCCAGGCTCCTCAAGCAGGTGGACAGTAGTTCCTAGCCCCTTTATGTTAAAATGAGAGTATTATTTTATTCTTACTCTTTATGAAATAACTTTAAGATGTTGGACAAGTTCACAGAAAGCTTTAGGTTAAAAGAAAGAAAAGTGCCCACGTTTACGAGTGCCACCGCACCCAGGCGTGCACCCGAGCGCCCCTCACAGTGCGGCACCTGATTGTCTTCGAATTCACTGTCTATGTAACGTGTGCATTATATGTACTTTTTGTATGCCATCTATTTCACATATACATGTCCATTATACACTCCTCTGTACTTCACACGCTTCACCAGAAACACCCTCCTCGGGCCTGCAGGTGGTATGGTGGTTAAGGCGCTGGACTCCCGTGTGGCCAACGGTGGTTCAAGTCCCAGACCTGGCATCTTGCTTTCTCACTTTCCTTGTCTCTCTCTGGTGAGCACGTGTGCCCTATAGTAAATTTTAAAATAATAACGGGACCAGCAGATGAAGTAATGGTTACGGTGCTGGATCCCACGTTGTTGACTACGGTTAGAATCCCAGACCTGGTGGCTTAAAACTCACGCCGGGCGCATGTGCGTGTGTGCCCAGGATCTTGAGAGGAGAATGGAGGAGAAGGGATTGCGGCGTGACCATCCCCCCTGGGGGTGATTTCTCGCTTTCTGTCTCTCTCTCTCTCTTTCTGGTGAGTGCATGCACCCTATAGCAAAAATCTCTCAAAAATTTTAATTGATTAAATAAATATTTCTTAAAAAATAAAATGAGGGGCCAGTAGGTGGGCTGGTAGTTAAGGACATCGGACTCCCACGTGGCCAACCATGGTTTGAGTCCCGGACCTGGCAGTTTGCTCTCTCCTTTCTCTCTCGCTCTCTCTCTCTCTCTCTCTCTTGCTCTGTCCCTCTCTGATCAAATTAAAATAAATAAATAAGGTTAAATAAAAATAATTCTTTAAAAAAGGGGAAAAGAAAAAGAAAAAAATGGCCTCCTTGTGTGTAAAGTGAGAAGCTGGACTGTCTTGTTCTGAAGCCCTCTGTCTAACTTCCTGGTCTCCTAATGGGTGGTTCCAATGTCAGAGAACAGGGACCAAGTTTAGAAGGAGTTGACTTAGGGGCTTCTCCATGGAGACCGTGTCTCTATGGGCATCCAGCTGGGTAGTTTAGATGCACCTGTAGACTGCAGACCTAGAAGCAATCGAAGAGAGGCCAGGAGTGCTTGGGTGGCATTACTCACCTGAGAGTCGGAGCCCTAATGGTGGTCACAGGTATGGACACCACATCACGGTGGGGTGGTCACTACAGAGCTACAAGATGAACCGTCCAGAGGGCTATGGGCTAGAGGGTACCAGAGCCGGGATTTGAACATCATTGGCCCAGGGTGCTCAGGCCTCATGCATAGTCAGCCTCCAGCACTGTCTAGAACATGAGTGCAGGGCCTCGAAGGGTGCAAGCTGGCTTCCCAGAGTGCCCAGCAAAGCGGAGCTGGTGAGGGCTGCTGACAAGACCTGGGGCGGGCTCTGGCCTCGGCTTCCACCCAGCCAGGTGGCCCGAACAGGTTTTGTGCTGTCTGTGAACTCGGGCTCTGTGGGAACATAATTCCACCCTTAAAGGGACTGGAAGATTAAATCTATAAATCGCAGCTTTTTTGATTCATGTTAAAATTTACAGTCATTAACTAAGATTCCTCTTCCCTTTGATATCTCCTTTCTTCCGAAGAGTTTGGTGTAACCAACATACGCTAAGACTGAACACTCCATGTCCTTTCTCAAATGGCAGGTTCGTCCTTCGGACCAGAAAGGGACACTTTTCCGTGTCCTCTGCTAGCACTCCAAAGGGTCCCCATGGAGAAAACTAAACATGTCCCTCAAAATGCTCAAGCAAAATCCCCATGTTGCCAAAAGAGACCAGTCGTCCTTTTACGCCAAAACCCTTTGCTCCTTTTCCGCTAAAATCAGCACGCCTGGTTTCCATGTGTCGTTACCTGGGTAAGAGGAGGTGACCTGCGGTCATTTCACACGCGGAGGCTCTGGGGCGGAGAGGACAGCGTGTGTGTGGGGAGGACACCGTACACTGTCCCCCAGGGTTCGGCGGAGGGTCCTGGGGTGCTTGGCCCTCAGATGACCTCTCCAGGAGGGGACTCAGGTGGGAGCCCAGTGAGCCAGGCTGCAGAGACCTCTCACTGTGCGATCATTCCCCTCCTGCCCAGTGTCGCCTAAGGTCAAGAGTTTCCTCAGAACCATCTGATCATAGGCTCCTCGCCAGGTGGGAAGCAGGTCAGCTGGCCTGGGGGAGGCCTGGGCTGCTGGCCCGGATGCTGGGCAGAGGGTGCCCGAGCTGCACTCACCAGGTGCTCCGGCAGGCGGAAGCTTGCTGGGCCGCCCTGGGAAGGTGCCCGTCGCGTGATGGGCCTGCTGGGTCTGCTCCATGCTTAGCAAGTGCCTGCAGGCAGCCAGTCATTTCGCTTCTCATTCAGCCACTGAGCAATTGTTTAAAGTATTCTTACCACAGGGTGCTCGCGCTGGCAGGAAACCGGAGCACGGGCTGCAGGGACCCATGGCCTGCAGGGACGGGGTCTGAAGAGGTCTCTTCATAAGTGAGCTGCTTGCTCGCTTGCTCGTGGGATCAGCTCCACCCCCCCTTATAAGCTTTTATTCCAAAGTGCAAACTGTGTGCTCTTAACACCTACTTTCACTCTGTAATTCGTGGTATCTTTATCAGGCACAATTATCTCAGGCCTTGAATGGAGTTTCTGACAAGGCGAAGGAAGCAAAGGAGTTTCTGGTCCAGCTCAGGAACATCCTGCAGCAGATCCAGGTGAGTGCGCCTTGGGGCTGGGACCGCGCGACTCGGGGCTGGGACACTCTGTCCCAGGTTGGCAAAGTGCACGGAGCTCCGGGTAAGAAAGGGAACACCCTGACAGCCTTCTGTCCGTAGTGACCACTAGGAGGTGGGAGCGTGCTACAGCATGCCTTCCGGGCTACGGGTGCTGCATGTGGCATGCACTGACACACGAGGAACACGTGACATGGAAGGGAGTTTTATTCGAAGCCGTTAGGGAGAATCTCCCAGTAGAGAGCTGGAAAGCGGTGAGGTGACCAGCTGCCCACGACCTGGAGGCCCTGCGGGGTCGGCCTGTGCTACATCAGTACCCAATACGCCTGTTAGTCAATGCAGGGAAACATGAACACACCACTTACCACGTCATGTATGAGCCGAGCTCCTGCTGTGTGTCATGTACTGAGCCTGACACAGACAGGAAGATCAAAGAGGCGCAGCCGCTGGCCTTGGGGAGGCCTGTGTTTCGGTAGTGAGTGCACACACGTGTGCTGCCGTATGTGCACACAGAGTGGGGCTGTTTGTACACACCAGGAGCCCAGAAGGCACTCACGTGTCTGAATGGAGAAGAGAAACAAGGCTGACTACTCCCGTAAGCCCCTTCCTGCCTATCAGGTCACAGTGCAGACTCCAGCCCCGAGGTGGGGTAGTCAGAGCCCTGTGCTGGCCGTGCTCCGCCAACAGCCATGCGTCACAGGACGGCTGAGAGCAGTGAGCTACTTTCTCACCTTACGGGGCTGGGAGGCCCCAGGTCAACACGGGGCAGGCTGGCTCCTCTGAGGCCCTGCTCCTTGGGGGCAGACAGCTGTCTTCTTCCCGTGTCCTCTCTCGTATGTGTGCACACATTCTTTCTCATGGATAAAATAAAGACACTTGAGAAATTGCTTTAAATAAATAGAACTGAGAAAGACAGGCCTTATGGCAAGAGAACTATGTGTTTTGTTTTACTTCCGATTATAAAAAGCAAACGTATATGTTACACAAATTTTAGGAAGAAGGAAAAAATAAAACTAAGAAAAAGTTATGGATATCTCACCACCTGAAGCGACCACTCTAAGCATGTTGATGTGTGTTGTCCATTACTTTAAACACACAAGCATACACACACGCACACACATACACACACACACCCCATATATATGGGATTATACTGCACATAACTTGGATCCTGCCCTCATTTGTCCTCAGCAGTCTCTCTTGGCATTACAAAGGCTCCGTGAATGAAACCAGCAGATGGCATTAGAGTTTATGTCGCTGGACTCCCATGTAGTTGGCCGCGGTTTGAGTCCCAGACCTGCTGATTTGCAACTCATGCTGGGTGCATGTGTATGTGTGCCCAAAATTGCAAGAAAAAATGGAGGAGAAGGAATTGGGGCACGGCTGTGCCACTTCTTGCCTTCTGTCTCTCTGTATCTCTCTCTGTCTCTCTGGTGAGCACATGTGCCCCATAGCAAAAATCTCTCAAAGAAAGAAAGAAAGAAAGAAAGAAAGAAAGAAAGAAAGAAAGAAAGAGAGGCTCCACGAGCAAGGTTGGCATGACTACCAACACTCCACCACGCAGTGCTGAGATTCACTTTTGTATAGTTTCTGATTTAACGATGTCACCGACGCCTCTGGGCGAGCTGTCTGAATACCCCCTTGTGCACAGCACCCATCAGCTCTCAGCATCTTCTCCCTAAGGCTCTCTGCCTCCCCAGGAAAACGGACTGGACTACGAAGCCTGCCTGGTGGCTCAGTGCGATGCCCTGGTCGACGCTCTGACCCGGCAGAAAGCCAAGCTGCTCACCAAGGTGACTAAAGAGAGAGAGCACAAGCTGAAGGTAAGTACTTTGGTGGCCGGGGCACTGACCCCTACTGTGTCCTCGGCACCCAGTGGGGGGTGGAGCCCACGGGCGACACAGTAAGGTCATGTTAATTGAGTGATGCACAAAGGAATGAACGAACCAGGCAAGAGTGGGATGCGCGAGTGGGGTGACCGCCAGCAGTTACACTCAAGTGACTTGGCAGCAGCCAGGACCAGGCTGTTCCTTGGGAGCTGAGTCCAATCCCTGTGTCCTGTTGCTTTCAAGCCAGAATCCCACCCCCTCCTACCTACATCCCATTCCTATGGGACACTTTTGATCTCTTGCAGAACAGAAGTGACTGTTGACAGTGAGCTGGCTCCGCTCAGGTTGCCAGCTCTGCCGCCTCCTGCAGGCTCTCCCTGCAGCCTCATCCACACACCCACCATCAGCAGCAGTGTGGATCCCACAGGGCAGGGGTGGAAGTGAGGCTCGCCCTCACCTTACACTGAGCTCCTGGCTTAGGCAGGTGCATGAGTGCTCTTGCCTAAGGAAGGGCTCTGAGAAGCTCCACCTATGTCGGGGACATTTGCTAAATGAGGCGGAGAAGAGCCCTTTCGAGGAGAGAAGGAATGCGTGTTGGCGACGATCGTGGTTGACAATGGAACAGTGAGGCCCTTCGAGTGTCTCCAGTTTCCAGGGCATTACTGTCCAGATTTTTTTTTTTTTTTGAGAGATTTTCACTGTAGGGCGCGTGCGCTCGCCAGACAGACAGAGAGACATAGAGACAGAAAGCGAGAAATCACCCCCCAGGGGGGATGGTCATGCCGCAATCCCTTCTCCTCTATTCTCCTCTCGGGATCTTGGGCACGTACGCACACACGCCCGGTGTGAGTTTTAAGCCACCGGATCCGGGACTCGAACCGCGGTCAACCACGTGAGAGTCCAGCGACATAGCCATTACGCTAACTGCTGGTTCCCCAGATTTTAAGTTTTCTGTGCTGGGTGTTGCGGCCTTGCTGGTTGGGAAGTGAGTCCATGTATTCCCACATACAGAGGACGTGTGGGACTCAGGAGAGCCGCGAGAGGAGCACGCATGAGGTAGCATGGATCAGCGCTGCCCCCTCCGGGCTGCCTCTGCCAGTTCCTGACTCTCCAGGGCCAGGCTGTCCTTTCTCTGTGAGACGGTAACTTGGAGGCTTCTTTCTACTGCAGATGGTTTGGGACCAGATCAACCACTGCACCTTGAAGCTGCGCCAGTCCACCGGGCTGATGGAGTACTGCCTGGAGGTGATCAAGGAGAACGACCCCTCCGGGTTCCTGCAGGTGGGCTTCCTCCAGTTGGACTGCTACCCCCACACCAGCCCAGCTTTTAGGCAGGTTCTCCTTCGCTCATGATTCCAGAAGACCCAGAGTCTGATCTCGGCCTTGACTCTCACTAGCCATGACCCTAATCGTGCGTCGCTCCCAAGAGAGGAGGAGAAAGAGCATACTCTCTAGGCCCAGGGTGCCATACTTCAGCATCTCCCTGCAAATAGCAAAGGACAGGCCTCACCAAACAAGCTGGGAGCAGGGCCCATGGGCCGGCGTGCAGTCCTACAGGCCTGCCGCATCTCCCCAGCACTGAGCTGACTCAGGAGCACACCGGGATTCAGCTCTGTCCGTGGGGAGAGGATGCGGCCTCAGCAATTCCCCGAGAAGCGTGCACGGGGCCCTGGCCCTGCTGCGACACATGCACATTCTGGCGAGCAGGACTTCCCAGCGAAGGACAGCGGGGCTGTGGGTGTGACGCAGCCAGAGCCTGGAGCTGCAGACCCACTCAGACGAGGTTCACAGTGGGGAGGCAGCTTCCAAGCTCTGGGGGCTGGGGACGTACTTTCCTGAGATCTGGGGTAAACTGCTAGTACGCTTCGCTTGGCAAGGTCCTAGTTCTAGCAAAATGGACCCAGCTAAGGATGCCTTTGTGCTTTTGAGACAGCATCATATTCACTAAAGCCCAATTCCTTAAAGTGGCAAGCGCCGTCCTGCATCGTTTTATACTTAACACGACGGTGCTTTTAAAACAAGACCGAAGCAATCCAGTGAAGCTTGTATGGCTGGTGCTGTGAGGGTGGGGAAGGGGTCACTCAGTCCCTGCTATGGCCTAGCACGGCCCGCCTGTCCCCTTCCCACTCCCTTCCTCACCACTGGCTGCCCCCGTTTTCCTTTGCAAACTGGAACCCTGAACTCTGTGCTCCCCTTTAAGATCTCGGACGCCCTGATCAAGCGTGTCCAGGTGTCTCAAGAGCAGTGGGTCAAAGGTGCCCTGGAGCCGAAGGTGTCTGCAGAGTTCGATCTGACCTTGGACAGCGAGCCGCTGCTGCAGGCCATCCACCAGCTGGACTTCATCCAGATGAAATGTAGGGGTGAGCCGTGGTTGGCCCCAGTTCAATCGGTGCTTCTTCCAAGGGGCATCCAGTCTGACGGTGGCTCAGTGCTGTGGGAAGACTGAGGACAAACGGGGGGTAGTGTGGTTGTTGTTGGGGGGGTCACAGACTGAGGCTCAAGTCCCCACTCAGCACCCCCTGCTGGGTGAGCTGGTAGCACCAGTCTAAGCCCGAGAGTCCCCATTGGGAGAAGAATTGCTCATTCACTCAGAATCACTGGGTGTCTGCCGTGGGCCAGGCACTGCCGAAGGTGCTCAGGATGCCCCGATGACCTGGTCTGCGTGCCCTCGCCAGACCGAGCGTGTCCTAGAGCAGGAAGTGGACACTCACACAGATCCGTAATCTGATGCTGGAGAGCGGCAGGGCCCGGAGGAAGGGCAGGAAGGGCAGCAGTCAGTGTCAGGCAGGGGTGTGTTTGGAGGTGAGAAGGAGGGAGAGGGAGAGGAGGGAGACGCACTCAGATGTCCCAGGCAGCAGAGGGACAGCACGTGCAGAGGCCCTGTGGCAGGGAGAGCGACCTGGTGTCGCGGAGCGGAGGAGAA